GGAGAGAAAGAAACAGGAGATTGAAAAATGTAAGTAGAGAGAGGTAAAGATGAGGACTTATAAAGAAATAGTTGAACCGAATGAGTGAGTGGTGCGAAGCAAGGACTGTGGATACGGGAGGTGGTGTGAAGCAAGAGCCGTGTATACAAGAGGTAGCGTGAAGCAATGACTGTGGGTATAAGATGTGGTGTGAAGCTAGAACTGTGGATACAAGAGGTAAGGAAAAATTGCAAGCGAGAGAAAGGAGAAGATTGAAAGAAAAAAATGTCTGGCAGAAAACAGATCAGGGTCTGTTCAAGTGGAAAATATATATTGAAAGAAAGGGAAGTAAAATATTCGTAAAATGAGTGAATAAGAAAGAGCCAGACGGTAAGAGGAAAAGAGGAAGACCAAAAAGGGAACTAAGAGTGACATAAAGTGATATTTGGGAATGACTTGTGGTTCATGGGTGATGTTGGCTTATGTGAAGGTACATGTGGAACCCAGATTTGAGGTCTTGTGATAGAAAGGCAGCACCGTGGAGGGACATCATTTAGAGCAGTAAGAATGACTGAATGACAACCGAATGGACGGAGATTGTGAATGTTATATTTACTCATTATTTGTCGGCAACCCTTTATCGAGCGGGGAAAAGTTTGAGTTAAAAAAAATCAAATAAATGTTCGTATATATGGACACTAAGAGAGTTGTTATTCCCGCCTATCCAGACTTTCAGCATATATTCTGTAAACACCAACTAATTAGCATATCAAATTTATATTTACAACTTTCCAAATAAAATAACACTTAATCTGGGTTGCATACTAATGCGGTCTACACCACTAACGAATTTTTCCCCATCGTCGGTGACCTATTAATTAAAAGGTCAGGGCAGGTTGACCTTTGGCCCTAATTGCTTCAGTGTTTTGGATGAACAAATTTCGAAACAACCAATTTTTTCACTTACCAGCGGGGGTAGGGGGGGGGGGAGGGGAAGATAGATTCGTACCATAAAGGTCTGCGTTACTCTGGGCACAACGCAGGCGAACGTTCGTCTGGCATGGTATCCAATAGCACGTCAATACGGAGTTGAGGGGATTGCCAGGCGCCGTTGGTTGCTCTTCCTTGCGTTGTTTTCGAGGTGTGGAATATAGTGTTATACGAGGCACTAAGTTTCTGTTTTGGTTGTGAACGTCTATCATTTTCTGACTTTTGCATTTTTCTTACTTTCTTTTTTCTATTCCTATCTGTATCTCCCTCGTTTTCTTTTATTTTTTACATCTCTCTTTTCTGCCTCACCCTGTCCCCCGCTCTTTATATTTTTTCTCAATCTCTCTGTCTCTCTCTGTCTCACTCCCTTTGTCTTTTCTCCATCACTTTGTCTCTCTTCTACTTTTTGTCGTCAAATGAGAGTCAGTATTAATCACTGATGCACGATTGTCGAAAGAGCGAATTAAACTATACAACACTGACTTAACACCGTATACATATATATAAACTAAGACCTTATACAAATATGACTTAATACCTTTATACAATATATGAACTCACATATAAGAACCATATAATTTTGTGATTTTTTTTTCTAATGAATTTGTATTTAGTCAACTCTTTCGACCATACAACTTTAATCATGAATAAAATGTTACTAATATGTATATAATCACCCATTGATTTTGTTAAGTATTCTCAACTCAACATTACATAGTCAAAAAAATAAACGTCTTACTTTCAACATTTCTATAACATAATCGTATGTAATAAAAGCTTTAATCTCAAAATATCTTAAATTAAATATTTGTGTAGTTAACTTTTAAACATCGAGTCATTGTTAAAATTGCCAGAAATTGTATGAATAACCATTCACGGATAATTAATGTTCACAGGCCTACACGTAAAAATTTTGATACATTTAAACTCAAAACAGGATTTATTCAATTTATTTTTCGGATTTTTTTAACTGTTCGTTCTCCATATGTCAATTTTATTCCAATTTAGGTCACTCCTTCAACTCAAAATATTAAATAAATCCGTATTTAATCAACCTCTAAAACAGGTAGGTCGCTCTAAGCTATATTCTGTGTTCCTTGACTCGTGAATTCAATTATTATCGAGATCAAACGACGCAGCTTCCTGATCGCTTGTGTGTTTACCAAACTAAAAGCTCTCTCTCTCTCTCTCTCTCTCTCTCTCTCTCTCTCTCCTTATCTCATTTTCTCTTTCATTCTCTTTCTGCTTGTATCTCATCCGTTCTCTATGTTGCGCTAATTCTCTTTCTTCTCTCTTTTCCTTGCTTCGTTCATTTCTCGTTCTCCCTTTCTCCCTCCATTTCTGCTTCTTGGCCTGTCACTCACACACTCACTTCTTTTCTCTCCATCTCTGTTCGTTTTCGCAATCTCTTACTCTTTATTTCTCTCTATGTATTAACTGCTAATATCTCACTCACTCACTCGCTCGCTCACTCACTCACTCACTCACTCACTCAAAAGCTGGACAATGGGTATGATTTGAAAATTAATTACCACTCAAATGAATAAATCAATTCCCTGAATGGTCTAGGATATCAGCCAATGAGATGAGAGTACCAGGCGTCAACCAGCCAATCCGAACAGTCTCGCCTGAATTACCCAACTTAACGAGAAAATCTGCCATGAATCAGCCAATAGGATAAAAACGAGTGAATTTGGGATAAAATATCAGATCTTGATTACAATTTACGTTACAGAAAAAGAAAAAATAACCTATTTAAGATCACATGAAGATTAACCCCACGATTTATTTAACCTTATAAATACTTTCCTCCTATCCTAACTCTAACCTAACCTAACCTAACGTAACCTAATCTAGCCTAACCACGTGATCTCTAATTTATTTTAAAGCCTACTAATGAATGAATAAATGGACAGATGAAATAACCCAACAATAAGAGAATGAATATGTAAAAAAAAAATAAAAAAAAACCGAGTAAATAATAAGAAAAATAAATTATAGAAGATAAGAGAACAAAAAAATCAGTTAATTGAGACTTAGAAACCAAATATATAAACAAAGAAAAATAAACAACTTCAGTACTTGAGGAAACACGAAAACAAATAAATAACAAGAAAAAAAATATATAAGAAAACTAGAAATAATAAAGTAATACATAAGCAAGTAGAAATATAAATAAGGATATACCTTAAAAAATTAATATATAGTCTCACGTAAATATGTAAATTAATGTAGAAAATCCTCAGTAAATTAATATAAAATAAATACTGACTTATATAAGATATGGATAGGTATATGTATTAATGACCCCGTTAATTACCCCCAATCATATGAGTTAATTAATGAATAGCGTCTAACAACAACAAAACAAATTATGCAAACAAACATTATGTACACAAATAAAGTGATCGATGGTAAATTTTGTTAAGAGTTTGATCGATTGTTTGTTTGAATGATTGTGTGGATGTGGATTGTGTGGATGTTTATCTTGTTTGTGAGGAGGTCTCTCTCTCTCTCTCTCTCTCTCTCTCTCTCTCTCTCTCTCTCTCTCTCTCTCTGGGTTGGAATACGATTGTTTCGGTCACTGAATTTTGTTGAGAAGAAAGACAAAAATATGAACGTTCGTTCCGGCAGAGAATATTTTAGTCATACATTCTTAAGCACTTAGAGTGACGTAGATGAACTAGCGTAAAAAACAATGGAGTGTAATGGTAGTTTTAACCGAGATATTATTTTTATGGTGGGTCATGGAGGGTTATGTATGTATTCATATTTATTTAGTTTTTTTTTCGTGAGTAATAAAAAAACAATGTTGCAATGCTCTCGTTTTTACAGTGTGTGTGTGTGTGTGTGTGTGTGTGTGTGTGTGTGTGTGTGTGTGTGTGTGTGCATGTTTTGGATAAGTTAGAAAGAGTAGGGAAGGAGAGAAAAGAAAAATTATGAGAGAGAGAGAGAGAGAGAGAGATAATGGTGAATGATAAAAAAAAAATTATCTACAGGTGTTGACAAGTGGAATCACACCTGAGCACTAATTGTTGCAGCAGCAGCAGATTGACGCACCTGTCTCGCCACTGCTAGACGCAATATGTGCTCAGCTTTTGTTGTAAAATTTCTGAACGACAATTTATAATGCGAATCGTGCTGAGTGTGTAGTTAGGAGCATTAGTTCGTTGTTTCTCGTCTATAAATTATCATTTTGTTTGCAGTGAGAACGGAGTATTGTCACACCTAGCGGAAGAGTGAGATTATTTCACCTGTATTGAAATCGATTAATAATTTGTTTCTGTTATTGAAAATTAGCGATGGAAGAAGTGGATGATGGTAATATATGTATGTATATCTAGACTTAATTCTGAGACCAATTGTTGCTACTAAGGCTAAATTAATTACCTGACGAGTAGTTGAGTACTTGGTAAATAAATAACTACCTTATATAACCGGTACACAAGACGACTCTGGCCCCTAATGTACCTGGGTATAGGAGTCACTAGCAGGTCGGACAGGTGTTGATCCGATCTTTAACGTTCAACAGCTAGTGATTTGCTCCACCATAATGACGGTATGTTGGACCGCTCAAGATATAGTCGGTCATCGCTTTCAACAGGTCACAATTGCTCATACATATACACACACACACACACACACACACACACACACACACACATGTATATATGTATATACATGTGTGTGTGTGTGTGTGTGTGTGTGTGTGTGTGTGTGTGTGTGTGTGTGTGTGCAATTGTGACCTGTTGAAAAATTTGACAAAGGAAGATTTAATCATGATGGATATGCTATAATTTACCAGGTATTAATCACACTATGTTATTGAAACCCTAAACAAATATACATCAACCAATTATTTTTTTTTTGTAATATAATAAAGGACCGCCGGCCCCCACCACCACTATCACGGCTTCACGAGTCATTTTTTTACTTCTATTATTAGTGTTGTTATTATTATTATTAGTGTTATTATTATTATTATTACTATTATTTTTACTATTATTACTAATAAATCGTGCCCCCCACAGCCAGCACGGTCGGGTCTACATGAGGTGGAGCTATTGGACGTACAGAGTTCCTCTACAGGCAACTACAGGTGTGAGGTGGTGGCTGAGGGACCCACCTTCAACACCCACGTCATGTCTGCCAACATGACCATCGTAGGTGAGTCACTGACCATCGTGAGTGAATAGGATTTACTAACGTGTTTGGGTGAATAAAGTATGGGTGCCAACATGTAGGGGTGGAAAGTCAGAGCAGCCAACATTACTTCTAAGTATGATTCAGAGATACAAACAAAACAGTACAATATCCATAAAATAACAAAGGGAGATAATTACACAGTATATGAAGTAAGGAACAGGAAAAAAGGATAATAAATCGAAAGGTATAAAAGAGCAAGAGGTTGATGATGATGATGATGATAATGATGATGATGAAGATGATGAGACAATTAAGAATAAGGTAACAAAGAAATGAAATAATAAAATCAATAAATAGGAAGATAATTTAATAAGTGAGAGATAAGAGAGAGGGTAATGAAAGAGGAAATAGAAAGGATGGAAAACACACACGAAAAGAAAGAAAACATGTAGAGGAATAATAAAAACAACGCCACAAAGAAGAGGTAGAAGATGGAGAATAAATGTGAATGGAGAGATAATGTGAGAGTGAAAGAAAGCAAGGTAAACAGAAGGGGAGAGACGGAGAAAGAAATGAAACTGAATTTAGCAGAAGGGTTGAGAGGAGCTTAGAAAGGAAAGAACAAGGAAGAAAGACGATGAAGATGGGCATGGAAGATGGGAAATAATGTGGGACAAAAGAAAATACAGTAAAGAATATGAAAGAAAAAAATGAGAACAGTAAGAAAGAAATGGTGTGAAAGGCGATGCAAAGCGCCACAGATTATTGGCAGTGCCATTAAGATCTCTTATATTGGTGTATTTGGTGAGCTTGTATTTGTCATCAACGTGGTATTCCTCTAACTTCCACTGCTAACATTCTATTCTTCAACACCAGGGCCATACAGCTAACATTCTATCCTTCAACACGAGCGCCATAACAGTTAACATTCTATCCTTCAACACCAACGCCATAACAGCTAACATTCTATCCTTCAACACCAGCGCCATAACAACTAACATTCTATCCTTCAACACCAGCGCCATAACAGCTAACATTCTATCCTTCAACACCAGCGCCATAACAGCTAACATTCTATCTTTCAACACCAGCGCCATAACAACTAACATTCTATCCTTTAACACCAGCGTCATCACAGCTAACATTCTACCCTTTAACACCAGCGTCATCACAGCTAACATTCTATCCTTCAACACCAGCGCCATAACAACTAACATTCTATCCTTTAACACCAGCGTCATCACAGCTAACATTCTATCCTTCATCTAACATTCTATCCTTTAACACCAGCGTCATCACAGCTAACACTATTTGGTAACACCAGCGTCATCACAGCTAACATTCTATCCTTCAACACCAGCGCCATAACAACTAACATTCTATCCTTTAACACCAGCGTCATCACAGCTAACATTCTATCCTTAACACCATCATCACAATAACATTCTATCCTTTAACACCAGCGTCATCACAGTATTAACATTCTATCCTTTAACACCAGCGTCATCACAGCTAACATTCTATCCTTTAACACCAGCGCCATAACAACTAACATTCTATCCTTTAACACCAGCGTCATCACAGCTAACATTCTATCCTTCAACACCAGCGCCATAACAACTAACATTCTATCCTTTAACACCAGCGTCATCACAGCTAACATTCTATCCCTTAACACCAGCGTCATCACAGATAACATTCTCATCCCTTGAGTATTAAGAGCTAAATAGGCACCTTAACACCAGCGTCATCACAGCTAACATTCTATCCTTCAACACCAGCGTCATCACAGCTAACATTCTATCCTTCAACACCAGCGCCATAACAGCTAACATTCTATCTTTCAACACCAGCGTCATCACAGATAACATTCTATCCCTCGAGGTATTAAGAGCTAAATATGGCACCCTTTAACACCAGCGCCATCACAGCCAACACGCGATATCTCTCAGCGACCGAGTAACAGGAGCAGGCGGTAATGGTGCGGCGCTGAAGGATTCCAAAAGCCTCCCCAGGATAGCCAATGTGCGGGGTCGTGGTTCAGGGGATCATTGCCGAGACTAAATGGGCCAGTATTTCAGCGGGCAGCTCGTGACACGGGACCCACCCAAGGACCCGCTTCCAGAAATGGGTCTTCAGGAGTAAGGTGAAGTGGGGGTGTGGAGAGGGAATTTCCCACTGTAGCTTGCGGCGGGATTATCCGAGGGCAGGTGGGGATTGGGGATTGGGAGGGAGGGAGTGGGGGAGGAGAGGGGTATGAGTGAAGACGTAATCCCCTTAGCTTGGGAATGCTGGGATAGGTATAAAGGGATGACATCACAGCCCTGGGAGTTAAGGAACGTGTGAGGATGGATGAGGAAGAGGGAGCAAGTTATCTGAGCAGCTCTTCAAGAATACGACATTACTTGAGGGGTAACTTGTAGGTGATGTAGCCTGGAAATACTGTACCTGAAGCAGCTAGTAAGTCTGGAGTACCTCTCTCTCTCTCTCTCTCTCTCTCTCTCTCTCTCTCTCTCTCTCTCTCTCTCTCTCTCTCTCTCTCTCTGTCTTTCTCTCTTTTTCCTTTCATTCCTCCTTCTACCCTTTTGCAGTTTCTGTCTTTAATTCTGTCCCCAATTCATTTTCTCCCTCTCTTTCACTTTCTTTCTTATTTATTTCTTCCTTTCTTTATTCCCATCCCCTCTCTCGATTTATCTCTATCTCTCTCTCTTTAAATCTGTTGGATAATATTTCGTCTTTCCTTTTCTTGTTCCATCCCTCTTATCACCCTTTTTTTTTCTCATCCTGTTGTCTCTCCCTTCTTCCCGGTCACTCTCATCGTCTCACTTTCTTCCTCCCGTTTCCCCCTCCCTTATTACACCTGCATTCTCTTATTTCACAAGTTTTCTTCCCTTCATATCCACACTATTTATCACATTCCCTTTTACCTTGTTTTCCATACCAGCTTCTCTTCCATCTCTCTTTCTCTCTCTCTTTCTTGTTATTTCTATCGCACAATTCTTTAATTTCTGATAATATATCTCTATCTCTCTCTTTCTCTAATCTTACTCTCTCTCTCTCTCTCTCTCTCTCTCTCTTTCTCTCTCTCTCTCTCCAACCTATGACAGTCTTCCTTCCACCTTCGCCATTTATCTCTTCTGTTTTTGTTGTTGTTGTTGTTTTTTCCCGGCGCCTGTGACATTGTTTATATGAATTTTAATTACGTGTGAGCATTCATTAGGCTTGGAGCTCTTTTCTTCCTCTTTCTTTTGCATTCTTTCTCCTCTTTCTCAGCCACAAACCCTTTTCTCTTTCTGTCATTCACTGTATTCCTTGGTTTATAATCTTTAGCCTTTCTCTTTTCTTTGTCTACTTTCATTTTCTAATTTTTCTTTCCCATCTTCTTTCTTTTTTTTCATTTTCTTCTCTCTCTACTATATTTCTCTCTTTATCTCCCTTCCCCCCTTCTCTCTCTCTCTCTCTCTCTCTCTCTCTCTCTCTCTCTCTCTCTCTCCTCCTGTCTTTCTCTACCTCTCTAAAGCTATACATTTCTTTCTCTTTAACTCTCTTTCTCTACATAATTTCTTTCCTTCTTCCTTTCTCCCTCTTCATCCCTGTTATCTACCCTTTTTCTTTATTACTCTCTCCTCTGTCTTTATTTTCCTGTATTTATCTCCTTGTTCTATCTCTCCACTTTTCTTTCTTTGTCTCTCTCTCCTTTTTTTTTCTTTAAATCTTTTTCCTATTTATCTCCCCTTTTATATCTTTCTCTCTTCTCTCTCTCTCTCTACACGCATCTCACACAACACGCTTACATGACAAATGGAAAGCACTTCCTCTGATGTAGATTCATCACCCACTCAGCCACAGATGAAGCGTTTCCTCCTGTCTGTCTGTCTGTCTGTCTGTTTGTTTGTATGTCTGTTGCCAGTCTCTACATTTTTGTCACATTCTGTCTGTCTGTTTGTCTGTTTATATGTCGGTTCATGTCATCTGCTGTCTGTCTGTCTGTTAGTCTGAATCTTTGTCAACTGTCTGTTTACCAGTTTGTATCTGTCAGTTGTTGTACCGTCTGTCTGTTTAGTAGACAGTAAACTATACTCACAGTACAATAGTAATAGACACAAGGAACAAATAAGAGATATAGGGTGACATAGGCAGGCACAGAGAGAGAGAGAGAGAGAGAGAGAGAGAGAGAGAGAGAGAGAGAGAGAGAGAGAGAGAGAGAGAGAGACCTATGCAAAAATAAATAAGCGTAGAGACAAACAAGAGAGAGAGAAAGAGATGGATAGAGAAACACACAGGAACAAATACACGGACGTATAACAAAGACAAAGTGAGACATAGTGACAATGAGATAACACAAAGACATACTGAGAGTTATAGAGACATACAGCGACACAGACTCAGAAACTCATACACTGTGAGTATTAACAGAGGCACAGTGATACAGAAAGAAACAGACACTTGCACATACAGACAGATACACAGACACTTAAATGTAATGAAACTCACAAGATAAAGACATATACAAAGACAAAGATAAAAGATAAATAAAAACAAGTGTGGCACAGATACAGGAGAAACAGCTATGTCCCCCTGCCTGTTAATTTCCTGCTATGGTTGTTGAAGTTTATAATAATCTTCTTATGTTCGTTTACTTCATCTAGCTAGAAATATATACACATATATTATTTTATAGTAAGGTTAACCATTATCTCCTAAGTCCAGTTCTCTTTCTTTAATGCCTGCCTCGATCACAAGACACTAAGCATTTGAATCATTATCCTCCTAGTTTGTTATTTTGCCGGCAGATATCCTCACCATGTTCCTACACTGAAGAACATCCGGGAAATTAACATTACACTATTATTTTGCCGGGTTACAACTCCCTCCTCCCCACGTTATTTTACTTGGAAAAAAATAAAATAAATAAATAAATAAAACCTCCTACCGAACACTAACTCTTTTACACTGACACTGTCCTCTGGCCCATTACTTAACCGGAAACTAACCCAAGACCTGTTATTCTTCCGGTAGACACACACACACACACACACACACACACACACACACACACAAACTGGTTCCCACGTCTCCAGCCAGTCGCTACAACTCTTCTCGTAGACCCATTATTTTGCCAGACGCTAACTCCTGTCTCGTTATTCTTGCAGTTGATTCCCCGGAGAGTAACCATAATCTGTTTTATTACCGGACACTCATTCATGTTATGTTATTCTTCCGTTAGACATCCTAAAACAATGATTAGATTTCCTTATGTTACCGGATGCCAATTTTACCGTCACACAGCCTGGATAATAAAGCTTCACCGTTAATGTTTCCGGGGGATGATTATGTTTTCCGGATGTTAGCTTCTGCCATGGTATTCTTCCGGCAGACACTAACCACCCAGCTTCACCATGTTTCCAGACACTAATTCCTGCCCCGTTATTCTTCCGGCAGACACCACTGACACGAAGCCGAGGGTGACTGGACTGGAGGCATCGTATAGAGATGGGGAAACTATTAGCCTCAACTGCACCTCGCTGCGATCACGGCCTCCATCTACCCTCACCTGGTCCAACAATGGTCAGAAGGTGAGTGAGGGGAGAGGGATGAGAGGGATGGAAGAGAGGGAGAGTTGGAAGAGAAGGAGAAGAGAGACGGTAAATGAAGTGGGAGTGGGGGGAGGAAGAGGAGGGAAGAGACGGAGAATAGGGAAGAGAGGGAGGAAAGAGACTGAGAAGAGGGAACAGAGGGAGGAAAGAGAGGGAGAAGAGAAAAGGTAAATGAGAGGAGTGTGGAGGGAGGAGGAGGGAAGAGAGAAAATTGGAAGAGAAAGAGGAGAGAGAAGGTAAATGAGAGGGGGAGGAAGAAGGAGGAGGGAAGAGAAGGAGTTGGAAGAAGTGAAGAGAAAGGGGAAGTGAGGGGAGAATGAGGGGAGGGGGAGATGGAGAAAATAAAAGGTAGCTGGGAAGAGAGGAAGAAAGTTGGAAGAGAAGAAGAAGTAGAGAAGTTGAGAGGGAAGGGAAAGTAAGAAGAGCGGGAGAAGATAAACGGTGAATGGGAAGTGAGGAGAGGAAGAAGAAAGGAAAGAGTAATTTGGAGAATGAAATAGGGGAGAGGGAGAGTGGAGAGAGGGAAGAAAGTGGGGGAAACAGGGAGAAGAGGGAAATGGGTCGAAGGGAGAGGAGTGTGTATAGGAAAAGAACGATAAATAAAAGGTGAAATAGATGGGAAGTGGGGATCGGGTGAGTGGGCAAGGGGAGATAAGAGGAGAGAGGTGGAGTGGGAAAGGGCAAAACAAAGGGAGAAGAAGAGGAAGAGGAGAATGTAAGAGAAAGAGAGGGGTGAGAAGACCTATAAACTGTAAAGAAAAGAGTGAAAATGGGAGGAGAGGAACAAAAAGAAAAGAGTGAGAATGGCAGGTATTGTAAGTGTCGGTGGAAGGGGAGAAAGAGATAAGAGGGAGGGAAGAAAGGAAATAGGGAGGACGAAAGGAGGGGTAAGTGAGGCAGATAACTGAATTGGTTTATCCTTGGTTTTGGCTAAGTGCTGAAGGAAGGGGAAGAGAGAAGAGAGGACAGGGAGGGAGGTGGAAAGAAGAGGGAGGAGAGGGAGAAGGAGGTGAGAGGGGAAAGAATGTCTGAGAAGAAGGGATAAACTAAAACCAAGAGAAAAACACGATAAAAAAGATACAAAACCAAATCAAAGTAAAAATCAACTAATAATACAAGATTAAACAAGAGGATAAAAAAATTCGAGACAATTCCACACGAAAAAACCCAGAAAAGATGAAAAGAAAACCAAAATAAACAAGGCAAAAACAAAGAAGAAGAAAATAAACAATGTAGAAACCATCTCTCTTTAGTTGTGGTTATCAGGTAATATTTCCAGTAGGTAATGAACACAAGTCGATCCAGACATGTGCAAGAGGTTAAGAGGTAATACACAGGACATCTGACGAGGAGCTTTTGTACTGGATGTAAAAGACACGCCCATCTAGACGCCAGGATCTGTTTGCTTTCACCAACCAACTATTTTATTTAGTTTATAGTGATGTGGTGCATTGTGTGGTGGGTAAGTGCAGACACAACACCGGACGATGAGCCTTTCCGGGGAAACCACAGGACCGTATATAAGAACCTGTGTTAAGAGTGTGGTCTTAGTAGTAGGTGTCCAGCAGGGAGGAAGACTGTGTGTGTGTGTGTGTGTGTGTGTGTGTGTGTGTGTGTGTGTGTGTGTGTGTGTGTGTTTCACTTAGCTTAGGTTGTCTCACTCACTACCTACCGTATCTTAAGTTAGCGAGTTAAAATATAATATTAAAAATTATTAAATATAGCTTTATAAAAAAAATAAAAATATACCTCTTAATAATCTTATCTACCCTTTACCTCTGCCACATAGCTGTTTAAAAAAAATTCTTTGGATATTATAACCATATAAATAATTGGTAATTTGGCGAGTTACATGACTAGTAGCATCAGATCGACCTACCAGCAGCCTGGGAAACACAAGTCCTCCACAGTCTTGAATATCAGGTAGAATTATCCAAGCTACGAGAAAAAAAATAAAATAAAAAAATAAATAAATAAAATTAAACCCAGAAAGCAGAACTAGATGAGTGAGAGGGTTGGGTAAGACAATCCCAATCATTTGTGAGGAAAATGCTTGACCCTGAACTCAGCGGCGGGTGAGTCAGGCTGAGAAAATAAACACCGTAAAAGCTTTGTTGCTCAGTGGTCAATCAAGGTCCACTACCGCCCAACACTTAAGCCAAGTGCTACATACACCTGACACACACAGAGAGAGAGAGAGAGAGAGAGAGAGAGAGAGAGAGAGAGAGATTTATTCTGTAGTCTTCACATAACAACAACAGTCTTCGCTAAACCTTTATTTAACAAACAAAACAACTTTTATTACTAACTACCCTAGTCCTAAGTTAACCACACCATTCCTTTATAAGTTTATTCTCCAAAACCTTCCATAAATCGACCAGAGACAAATTCCCAACGCCGAAATTCCAACATTTACTCGCATATGAGCCCAAAATACTGTACCACGAGTCGCAAAGAAATGAAGGGAAAAATTCGCAGAGACAAAATTTGCATCTATTTAGCATAACCGTGGAGGGGAATTTCCCACCTGCATCGAAACAGTACATAAGGGAGACGGGCCGACGATCACACGCTGTAAACTGACTATTTACGACAGAACGGTGGTGGGTCGAGTGGGCCCCAGTGCAAACAGGGTCTGCCTAAATTGGTCTCAGTTCTAATGGGACCCAACGCAACCAAATGAAAGTAAATCTTACAAATAGGATTGAGGCTTTGTCGTATTTGGCTCCATTTCTAATAAGCCTCAATTTTTAACCTGACGGAATAAAGTTCATTCCTAAGAGGTCACAATCCTAACCTAACCTAACAATTAGACTGATGTTTCACTAGGACTGGGGCCTCCAATCCTTATGTTTAGGTTATGTGAGATAAAACTTGGGACCATTTGACCAAACACCCGATAATGTGAGCACTTACTTTACGATAGAGTTACGAGCTAAGCAAACTTACGAGGGGCTGAGTAAGTGTCAACTGTTATTGTTAAGATAAATGTTTCATGAATTCTGTGTGAGTGTGTGTGTGTGTGTGTGTGTGTGTGTGTGTGTGTGTGTGTGTGTGTCGGTGTATGTGTGTGTCTGTATGTAGAATACCTCCCAAACACAAATGCCGCCATACTGTGGGTTTTTTTAGTTTCAAAACTTACATAAATAGAAAATAATAACACACCCAAACATTTATTTTCACACCTTATGTAAAATTCGTAACTCACAACAGAATAATTGAAATTTCTGTTATATTCTTTCTCTCTCTTTGGGCTCAGAGATGGTCTTTATTTTTGTATATATTTTTTTTTCTCCTTTATGGGTAGAGAGTAAATTAGTTTTAAATTTTTCTCATGGTTTATAAAGCACATTGTTGATTACTTTCAGAGAGCGTGATAAAGTGTCTATATGCAAAATAGTAATGTTTAGTTTGGTGGGGCTCTTTTCTCTCGTCTTTTCTATATTGTGTTGAAATTTTACTCTACTTTTCTTTTGTATAATGAGATTTTATTATATTTTATTTTCACGTTTTTTATTCAGTTTTATTTATAGCTCTTCTGGTTCAATTCAATTTTTTACACTTTCTTTCTTTATTGTTATATTATTTATTTTACTTTCATTTTAACCTTTATGTTTTCATTTTCTATTTTCATTTTACAGGAATTACTTACTTTGCCTTTCATTTGTATACTATTTAACTTTCCGCATTCACCTTAAGTTTACTTTCATTTATAACATACACGGCGGGTTGAGGTGTTGATTGTATGTAGAAGTCCGCGTGCTTTATTGGGCTGATGAAATATATATGGATCCTCGTGTTTCGAAGCCGGATTTGGTAAAACGTTACTCTGACCACCTACGTGATACGGGTAGTCCCCATTAGAGGTTCACGGCGCCATAAGCTCATTGAACAGGCTTTGTGTGAAATATAACAGAGTCAAGGACTGCTTTTAGTATCCTGGTGGTCCAGAGGTAGCATTCCCCGGTCACAGTCATGGGCTCGTGGGGTGTGGGTTCGAATCCTGGCGGGTTGAGGTGTAGATTGTATGTAGAAGTCCGCGTGCTTTATTGGGGTAATGAAATATATATATATATATATATATATATATATATATATATATATATATATATATATATATCAGAATACAGTCCTCATATCTGAGGGTTGGCGACCACAGTCCTCCATTCTAAACGTTCTCGAGCTGTTTTTTTCCAATCCTCTGTAGTTTGTTAAATACTTTTTTATTTATGCCTTTTATATTTTGTTTTTACTTTCTACATTTAAATAGTTTTTTTAACTTTAATTGTATGTTCTTTACTATAGCAGTACTATATTTTTTTGTACTTTGTATATATTTAGCACAAAAATAGTTCAGTGTTTCTATAATTTTGCAATAGTTTTCAGTGCTTTATTTTGTTTTATTTGTTGTAACTTTTTGTCCCCTTTACTACCTTTTACGTTTTTGGTGTTAAAATATAGGGTACAGCGAGCCATGAATTAGTGTCTGCTTAACAAGGAGGATATATGCGCGTTTATTTGTTTACACTGAAAAACACGATTCTGTTTATTTTCCAGTGGGGATGTTTTTATGTCTAGTGCACTTTTTGCCACACACACACACACACACACACACACACACACACACACACACACATTCCACATTAAATTACAAGAAAGTACCAAATGATTTTGCCCCAAATCGGATTATAGAAGCTTCTGAAACTATTATTATGTACTCTCTCTGGATCTCTGTATTTCTCTATCATTCCCTCTCTCTTCTTTTCAATAATTCGTTCTCTTACTCTACCCCCCCTTCCCCTCTCTCTTTCTCTCTTCTCCGGCTCTCTCTTATAAACATTTATCCTCCTCATTTACCATCAGTTTCTAAAGGGAATCAACTGCTCTTTAAGTCTTATTAAAATCCTAACTCTTCCTCTCACTTCATTATTGAATTTCTCTCTCTCTTCAAGTTCTTCCCAATTATCACCTTGCTGTTC